TCCCGTCTTCATTCTGCATCAAACAAAAATCTCTTTTGATTCAGTCGCACTTGTAGTTACTTCATCGCGCGTTGAGGCGCTTGATAAAATCTCTCCTTGAGATTTTTCGTCCTGTTAGAATTGATTCATTGCGATTGCTTCTTTCAGCTTGTTTGTCTCACCTGGAATTCCTTCGCAGCTTGAAGTCGTTTTAGCGTGTCTTCTGCTTGAGAGCGGAACTGTTCTCTCAAGACAGGCGGCGGGTAGAGTTTGAACGAGTCTTGCGGACCCAGAAACTGTTCTTGACGAAATCCTGCGAAAAACGCGTGAAGCAGAGAGACAAATCGACTCACCATTTGAACTTGATCGGGAGGCACTGTTTGAAATTGGTCTCGCAGATTGAAGCGGGGAAAACGCGTTGTGTCGCCATTCAAGGAGTGATTGGCTTGATGGGAAGCAGTGCTGAGGCCTGAAATGCGGCTTGGAATCAAGTTTGTGGACGTGCTGGAAATAATCTGAAGAGTCCACACTTGCACATGCCTATTAATGAGACGTTGATACAGAAGCAAGAGCGATAGATGAATAAACTAAAACTTAAAAATTAGGTTGACAGATGGATTTCATTGGCAGAAGAACAACTAACGGGTTCCGAAGCTTTTAGAAGATGTTCTTCAGAGTGAAGCATCATACTGATCATTTCAATCAAGAAAAGCGCGAAGTTCAAACACAGAGGTGTCTGTCGAGCTTCACGGAAATGTATATTCGGACAGACTGATGTGGAATTGTTGACTATAGATAGTCACCCAAAGATTGGTGTGCGGTCTAGTATCGTGGGGAACGGGCTTCTTCAGCTTGATTTCGCTGCATGCGTGGATGCGTGCGACGGGAAATGGCGAGTTTGTGGCCGGACGTGTAGGAAAGCATGAGACGACGAAGACGGCGCGCGAAGCAGGAGTTGGCGTTGCTTCGTTGGCCGTGACGTCAGTAGATGAGCCAGGCTCGTTCGAGGAATTTGAAGGGGGTGGTGTTCCCTCGCCTTCAATGTCAAAGTGGTCATTGGAACGTGGATGCTCCATTTTACGTAGTCGAGAGTACGTGCTGACTGTAGTTTAGTGGGTGCACACTTGTAATTAGGTGTGGGGCACGCAGGTTCAATTAGCTGCCTCTAGCCTCAAAGAAAATGCGTAAGTCGCGGATGCGCTGCGTTCTTATAGCAAGTTCGTGTTGAGAATGCCAATGTTGCTTGTTTGTACCATGCAGGGTGATTGGGGCGCATGCTTCAGGCGAAGCCAAAAAAACCACGTAGAAAGAAATAATTCGATGATGATGGTCGTGAGCGTGATGCGTAACGTGGCTGCAAAGAAATGACAAATCCGTGTTGTTGGACTTACTGATTTAATGAGATAGGACTAGGTACTGAGGCTGAGAGAAGCGACGCGAGTGTACTGTTAAACTGAACTGAACGACGCTCAGCTAGCGGCATTCCAATACACCACAGACGGCGCGAATGCTCTAGCGCTTTCTAGCCGTTCTCAATCTCATTGGTCCCTCAGTGCAACAATACGTCTTTCAGGATCTCTGGCACGTCTGCTGCATCGCATGAGCATCTCCCCAATTTATTGAAGATGCTGAGTTAACCAGAGGAGATCGTTCGTCATATATCAGTATCCTTGCGGGAGGGGCAGTGTGGCTACACGTGACGCCTTGCGGATGTGCCATTATTGCTAGTTGAAAACTACTCCAATTCCTGTCTGAAAGTTCGAAAGAGCTATCAGCAATTTTTGAAGGCTCTAGGGCTGACAGCCGGAAGAAGTAGAATTTCGAAATAAAATTTGATGATTTCTTGTGTAAGAGGCTTTTATTTCAAGAAGTGCTCTGGTGATAAAAACCAATAAATCAACAGGAAGATCAAACTTGAAGAAAGCAGTTGAATAGAAAGAGCTTTCTGTTCTCAGGCTATTGATCAAGAGGATGCTTTCTAAATCCACATCCTTGAGTGCAAAGGTCCAAACATGTTCTAATCATCTTCTTGTCTCCACCATATTTTGAAATGGTTTCAGACGCCAAACGCGACAGTCCAGCCTGCGATGAATTCAGTCTCTTCCATCAATAAGAGAAATTCCTACGCTTTCACCTTGAGACTCTCTGCACGTCACATGGCAGCTTTTGTAGCACTCTGACCTAAATCAACACAAACATCTCGCAAATTGGATGTCCCACATGATTTCGCTCACTTGGTTTTTAAATCCGGAAAATCGCACCCCATTTTGCAGAATTCCCGTGCTTCCCACACAATGGATTCATCCTTTCCCGCAAAGTGCTTTGCGGAGGTCAAACAACGATTGTAGCAGGAAGCTGGGAAGAAGTCAACCTCCGTCAGGTACGTTGAGAAAAACTGAAATCAGACATTCTACAAAGGAATTCAATTAGCGACCTACGGTGGACATTTCGCGTCCCCATTCCAACCAACTTCTGTATCTTTCAGAGAAACTCTGCGACATAAGTTTAGACTCAACAAAAAGGCACAAAATCCAATTATTTCAGGACAAAAGGCGGTTCACACTATCTAGACAAAAACGATCTGCAATAGGGAAAGTGAAGAACCATCGTTCAGCCAATCATTCACCTAAAACAGTCAAGCAGAGCTTCTGGGTTTTCTTCTTGTATTAAATGCCCACTCTTCACTGAAACCGTCGCTACAGAATTCTGAACCAGAGGCACTCTACCAGGGAAAGCCAGAGACTCACCGATGGGTCCTTTCTGAATCCTGCAATCAAGCGGCGCCGATCTTTTCCAGAAACAATTCTATCGTCTGTTGCTGAAACGACGAGAATCGACGAATCTCGAACAGCAAGCTTGGAATTTGGAGTCTGAAATACAGAGAAATTGAATTAATCACTAATAAAAAGCAAGTACCTTGGAAACAATTTCTGATAAGGCTTCAAAGTATCTTGGGTGTGCCGATGGAAGTTGATAAGCCAGCTTGCTCTCATCAGTCAGTTTCGATGGATTTGACCATCCGCGCTTTAAAAAGAATTCCCCTAATTCTGATTTAATGAGCGATAATGAGAGAGAACGTCCAATAGAGGTTCGAACAATAGTGCGTATGAATTTCGTCATTCCAGCCTCCCCAAGACATGGAGCTGGAGAGACGAGAAGCACACCCTTGATGAGATCGGGTCGATGCTCCAGACATCGAAGTGCAATTCCGCAAGCACTTCCACTTGAAACGATATAAACAGGCAAAGCGGCATGAGATGCAAAGTGGTCAGCTAGAGCGAGTGATACAGCGACCGAAAATTCATCAGAATAGGGGTCGTACTAAAGAAGAATGACCAGATGGGAACATTGCAGGATTCAATACCTCAATGTTGTTGAGAACAACAGTCGTTCCAGGCCAGGGACGCTCCGTGAATCCAAATCCGCATCGATCGAAAGAAATAACTCGTGAACCCGAAGATCCAATCTGGGACAAGAGGGGCGCTAAGCGCTTCCAAGTGAAGAGCCACGATCCAAATGGGTGGAATAAAACGAACAAAGCCGACGGGGGGAAAGACGAAGAAGGGATGCTTTCAGAGTGTTGACTGCTGAAAGCTTCATGTATGGAAACGTGGAATAGAAGCTACGAAAACAAAGAGTGAAGCTTAGGGTTGTAAATGGCTACAAAAAAACATTCAAGATATCGAAGACTGACTCCCCCGATTTTGATAAATTGAGCTTCATTCAAAAATGGAGGAGAATCGGCGTTCCAACCAAGGAGTCGAGCGCCTTCAACAGTATTGTTTGAAAAGTAAGAAAGCGGAGCGGGATATGGAGGAACAACCAACTCTGTCAAAGCTGCGTTGCAAGATGGAAGTCTATTGGGAAGATTTTTGATCCAATGCTCGCAATTGTTTGTTGGATTCAACTGTTGGCCACACGCTCCTTTCTCATCATCATCAATTGGGACGTAACATGTTGAAGAATTTGAGGCTCGTGTTAGCAGGCGACTCAACAATGGCAGGTGAGGATCATCAGGGCGATGCACTGCAGCAACGAGCCGCCGTTCACGGGAATATAAAGCGCGCTTTCTTCTTCGGCTTTCAGATGTCCAGAGAGCCACCCACTCAGCAATAATGAGCAGACATTGGAGCTGAAAAACAACAGAGTGTGGGATAAGAAGACGGCCCGATTTACCGCGATGAACGAAACCACCACTGCATCAGTTTGGAAGAAGAATTTGACGACGGCGACAATCAGTGAAGCACTCGAAACAACTCCCATTAGAATTTCAACCCAAATTCCAGCCTTTCTTCGATTCCAGAAACAAACATTTACACAAATTATCCGTATAATTGAGAGACAAAGTAAATCGATAACTGTACTACGATCAATGCTCCAAGAAGGCCGAATCACACTGGCTCGTATGATAACGGTAAACGAACAAAAGAAATCGAAGAAGCTTAAGAGCCGTGCCAGCTGTGTCGTGACAAGGAAGAAGAGACATTGTCCCAAAAACCAAGCCGCTAAACAATAGTTCATCAGGCAACCATCACTGCACATATCAATGAGCAATCTCCTCATTGATTTCCATCGTTGGGGTGGCTCTTCATCTTCCCAATTGGCTAATTCGTGGAGAAGTGCTAAATGATCTTCGGGAGATGCGGTGGCAACAGCAGTTGCAGCGGATAATGACAGTGCGGGGGAAAGTGGGTTGCCAGAGTGAAACACATCACAACAATCACCATGGGATGAGATTTTGGGGCGCGGTGTGCTTTCGCAGTGAAGAATGACATGAAGAGGGAGTATTGAGTTGGTGGTCCAGAATCGCTTCTGAGACGAGGAGCGGGGGCCTCAGGGTGTTGCTGCAGGCAGGGGATATGATCAAAATTGCTGATTGACGACGCAATAGACGAGAGAGCTGGGGAGGCATATTGAAGACGCTCAACGTCACAAGCGTTGCTGTCGCTCATTATTAAAAGGAATTGTTCACCAGTTTTCTAGGAGACCCTACCAGGTCTGACTTGCCTGGTTGAATCGAGATGCCGAATTGGGGAGCGGGACACTCTAAAGCTGTTGAGTCGCGGCAGAAAAAGGCAGCCGTGAAAGAGGAACAAAGAGAGAATGAACGCAAGCGTGCCGAAGATGCTAAATGGAAGGATGAAGTGACGGAAGCTGTGTTTTCCAAAAAAGTGAGAAGCGTCTGACTTCATGATTGACGCAACCATGTTCGTCAGGAGGACCAAGCTGCAAAGCTACAAGAAAAAGCCCAGAAGAAAGCAGAATTGAAAGCCTTGGCAGACAAAGAGGAAGCTCAATTTGTTTCACACAAGAAGGTGAGAGTTTGAGAAAATATGAATTTAATAGATCCGCGTTAGGCCAGTGAAGCTCCAGCGAAACTAACAAGATCTCAGATTCAGCAGAGGGCGCTCTTTGCAGCGACAATGAGAAAAAAAGAAGAAGAAGCAGAACAAGAAGCTGCTGACGTGAGGTGTTTATTGGTTTGTTTGATCGTATCTGTTCTCTGCGGCAGGATGTGTTCAAACTGGCGAATCCAAATCGACTTAGAGCAGAAGAAGAGAGAATTGCTAGAGAGAAAGGACAAGAATATGTTGCAGCATCAAGTGTTGCAGAATTTGTTGATCAGTTGAATCCAGACGACGCGGATCGATTTCCAACAAAACGAATGAAAGCGGGTATGGTGATGGTGTTGAACTCAAGAACACAACAAACTTGTTTCTATCAGGCCTATAACGCATATGAGGAAGAATGGATCAATAAGTTGAAATCAGAGGCAAGCGTCGTGTGGCTGGAGTTCTGAGTTGATTTTGTTATCTGATGCAGAATCCAACACTGAAGCGGTCGCAGATGAAGGAGAGGATTTGGAAACAGGTACTTAGGTTCTGGTTGGACTCTGACTCTGACTCTGGACTCTCATTTTAGTGGCAAAAAGCTCCTGAAAATCCAATGAATCAAGCTCAACCACAATAGTGTTTATTGGAAAATTGCTTGGTTGCTGTTTTCTCAAAACTGCAAGCGGAAGAAAATCCAAAAAGAGCGAAAATTAAATTCCTTCACTCGAGCAAACTTCCCATTGATGATCCTGTTGTTTGATCTGTGCGTTTAGATTCGTGTAATTTGACACAAGAGAACCATTCTTAAATACTCCATAAATGCGGCTAGGGTCCCCCTCCGACTTCAGCCTGAGAACTGAGATGAGAGGAGAACAGAGAATTGATTGCGTACCATTTGAGAGCGTGACTTTTACTCAAAAAGAATCCATCCTCAACACGATTACCATTGTCTTTGTGAGTTCGGCTCATTAGGGGTTGAGGATAACGAGCATTACGAACAATTCTCTTGGAAGCGATCGTATAAACTGCAACGCTATCAGGCGTTTCATCAGGGGGGGGGTTGATTTTCTTCCCTGTCTAAATTTTCATCATAATCATGATCCTGATGTTTGTTCTTTCTTTTCATCTTCTCCTTCCATTTGAAGCATCCATCCTCAAAATCGTATGCCACTTTGTCTTCCTTCATCTCTCTTTCCAAGTGACGTTTTTTGTTTCCTCTCCTTTCTGCTTCACTCCTTTCAGTTGACGCTGCTTTCACCTCTTGATCATGCAAATCGGATTCATCAAGACCAAACAAACGAGGATCGAGTCCAAATTTCCTCAATAATCCGACGTCAGACAATCGGGGATTTTCACGAATTCGTTGCAGAACTTTTCGACTCAATCGATTTGTAGTCTGAAAGACAATTCAAGAAAAATTCAGTATTCTATTTCTAAGATTCTAGTCCAATATTTTTGTTTGGCTGCTTCTCATATTTTTATTCTGTACCCTGATGTCAGATGGCTCCATCTCCGAATCGTATCTTCCCCTTCGAGTGACAAATTCCAGGAATTCAAACTCATCCTCATCATCATCAGATTCGTATTCGTCAAATCCGCGCCTTTCTCGTTCTTGTCGCATCAATTCACGTTCAATCAATTCCTCTTCATCTATGAATCGCCGTTTCCCTCCTTTGCTTTTCTTTTTGTCTAAATAGTCTTCACAGTCATGATTGTACCAGTACTCATCGCAACCATCACTCCAAAAGAATCGTTTATCGAACTCCTTTTCCTTTGAAGTCTGAGGTTTTTCTGTAGCGCGCGGTTTTCTCTGTTTCTCGCGCTTTGACTCTGGCTGCGTCCAAACATCCCCCCAATGAAATGCTGAAGCTCTCCCAGCTTGCTCAAATGGAGAAGTGGAAGAATTGGAAGTATTGGAAGGATTGGAAGGATTGGAAGCACGAGACGTGAATGTAGACGAAGGCCGTCGTTTGTAGTGCGTTGCATACTGGGTGTCATACGCACTCCGATTCTTCGTCAATGTTTGATAGGCATCATTAATTTGTTTGAATTTTGCGTCCCCACCTGTTGTATTAATATCGGGATGACACGATTTCGCAAGCTTAAAAAATGCCGATTTGATTTGTTCTGTTGTCGCTTTGGGGCTTATTGATAACCTCTTGTAAAAATCAACAAAAGGCGCGGCCATGACAAATTGTTTGATCAAAGGATCCCATTCTGTGGTTGACTCAATTCAGGCAAATCAATTCAACTGTGGCTAACTACAAATCTAATAGATCCCTGATTAACGTGCACATGGTTCACAGATGGTCTAAACTGGTTTTGATCTTGTGTCGGAGATACGTGATGCTGCAGAATGTTTTTTTTAAAGCATCAAATATTGAAGAAGCATCTCCAACGTCAGCCAGAGTGCCTGAGGAGAACAATTTTCAGAAACGCCTTGAAAGAGACCGCACTCACCCTCTGTTGGTAAAATGCAAAATTCCTCCTTCGGCTTCTGGATGAACCTTCTGAAAATCAAAAAATTAGATTCAGCAAAACGTGATTCTGCCACCTAAAGCATGACGGAATTGCTAAGGGAGTAAGATCTCCGGTGGGATGCCAGATCTGTGACTCGAATGGGGCCAAATGCAATTCGTTTGGACTTGACGATCTGCAAAGAATCGATCATGAAAAATACCGCACGAACCCTTCATCGAACCTTCAAACGAAAATAATCCATTAATACGTGAAGGCATCGCTGAGGTGCCTCAACTATATGAAGTCGAATCCATGCTGTTCGAAATCCTCGAGAGAGAACTTCAACCCAAACAGCCCCATAGTCGATTCCATTGATGGTGGCGCCATTCCTAAAACGGGAATAATAATTGCACCATGAGCAATAGAAATCACCAAATGCTCTTCAAACAGTCTGCTGGCATCGCGCCAATAACTTTCATTCGATGAACCTGATGAGAAAAAATGCCTTGCTTCAATAATTCAAGCGTCTCACACTTTGGATGTTTGATTTCGGATCAGCAAGATTTCGAGCGAATTCAGGATCATTCGTCATTAAGACCAAACCCTCGAGGCGTTTCTCCAGGGGTCTCTGAAATTGACGCAATTAACAGCCACGTCGAAGCTTCTCACCACGATGGAAACGTGAGGAGGAAGAAACAGCGGAAACCGTCTAGCGAGACTCAAATCAGTGTCTTCCCCAGTTTTCTCTCACCCATCTTCTTTCTGATGTAAAACACTTCGGGATTCGATCCAATCCCTAAGAGTTGGAACGTTCTGAGGGATAAACAACTTCATCGAATACAAACTAAATTCCTTTACCGGGAGAGTTGCTTCACACATCACATGGGCAGGTTTCCTCACGCCCCATAATTGCGTTGAAAACGTTCATAGGAATCTCTTTACCTACAAAAGACATTCACGACATCATTATCATTGTTCAGGCACCCCGAAATCGGACAACGGCTTCTGAATGAACTTGAACATTGGACGTAACGATTTTTCCATCCACCTGAAAAATGGATAACGATTTTGTTGAACGCTGCCTTACTTCAACTTCCCCGTTCCTGATTGCCCCTTGTGCTGATTTTTCATTCGCTAATCCACACAAGACGAGACGATGGGATAACGAATCACAAACCCTGAAAAGACGACGGGCTCCGTTCAAATTTTGGATTGTTATTCTGACGTTTTTCGTAGTTGCAAGCTAACCGCCTTGTGCACCATAGCAGTCACGGAGAACTTGTTTGTTTTGACACATAAAACACGAAAAATAGAGTTTCGCTCTCCTAAGAAGCATCTCGCCTAACGCCGTTAAGATCTTTGATCGTGCTGCTTTGAGCTTGATGACTGGCAACCACCTCATCAAGGACAGGCAATTGAGGATGGGGGTATTGAGCCACGCAAGCCAACCGATGAAGGAACCGGCAAGGCGGCTGGTGGAGAGGGAGGAGAACCATTTTGTAGAACGTAAACGAGAATGATCACAGCGCCAACAAGGAGCGTGAGCAATATCATGAAAAAATTTCTGAAAAAGAAGTTTAATTGTGTCACTTGAAAATTCCATACCGTCTACGTGCTCTTTGTTTCAATATGTTTGCTCTTCGTAGTTCGTCTACAGCAGATCCTGTTGAATTTTTAATGTTCATAATATTCGAATCAATTAAGTCGAGATCCTCCTGTTGCTCATTAATGAGATGAGCTAACTCGCGGAATACATGCGATATTTGAGACAATTGGGCCTTGATGCGATTAACTCCACGAAGTCTTTCCTTCGATACATACAACTAAAAAACAAGCAATAAGTGAGAGAGAAGGCGTCAGTCTTACATCCAAATCATCGTTTTGGCGATCAACCGTAAGGTGCCATCCATCCAAATACGATGCTGATCGCACAGATCCGCGGGATAAAAGCCCAGAAAGCTCCTCATCCTCTTCGCTAAAGTCATCGTCTGCTGCTCCGGAGTTCGTCCTTCCCTGGCGCGATGAATACAAATAATCATCTTCTAGGAAATCATCAGTTGTTGTCTGAGGATGAGACAATCTACTTTGAGCGCTACGATGAGGATCGGGGGATGTTGCTGTTGACGTGCTTGCTGATGTTGGGCGGGATCGAGATTCTGTTGACGTTGGGGAACTCCCTGCAGCTGTCGAGCAAGATGACGACGACATTGCCTTCTTGATTCCACCATAAGGGCCAGGCTGCTCGTCATCTAGATCATCATCTTCATCATAAAAACTGCGTCTAACGGTGACTGGGGGGAGAGGCGGAACAAAGTCATTGAATGCTTGTTCTGTTGAGTGCTGATGGTTCAGAGGAGACACAACAGGTAGCCTGGGAGAATCGGCACCACCCTTCCATCTACGAGAGGCGCCATGAGAAGATGAGAAAGTGGAAATCTCCTTACTGTTTAGGTTGGCTTTTGCCAGTTACAACACTAAGGCTATGATCTGCTAAGGGTTGCTGCTCGGATAGCTGTGCTTGAGATGTTCTTGACATCGGGCTATTTTTTGGGGTAGTTTCAAATGCCGATTCTGCAGAAAAAACAAACTAATTTGAAGTTGAGGCGAATTCTTACCTTCTACAGAAGAGATGTTCTCTCCTAGCCTAAAAGCCAAAGCATCTCTGAATGACATCTCAGAATAGTTATAAATCGCAAATATAAGACACTATCCAGCTTTAAATTTAAGTTTTTACAAAATTCAATTCAACCAGAATTGTTTTGAACAGTTCAAAAAATCGGAACCAAAATATGGTTATAATTTTGGCTCCTGATCAAATTGAATGTGCCTTTTAGGCGCCCCAAATTGATCAGTAAATTTAAGGATCATATCCTGATCGTCCATAATGTCGGCTGAAAGGACCAGAGCGCGCCGTAGCCGTTCTCCTTCAGATGCTTTAGACGATGAGGAACGACGGAAAGCGAGAAGGACGTCTGGTTATGAGGTTTCACAGTTTGAATCTCGCGATCGCACGAAACCTTCCATTCGACAGTTTGTTCGTAGGGATGCAGGTGACTTCCTTCCTCCTCCCCCGTTAAAAAGGTCCCCGCGAAACAGATCCTCCTGACCGGAGGCAGTCGGGTCGTAACAGATATCCAACTGGATCGACCCGTGCACCAGACTCTGGCAGCACACCCGACCATTCCTCCCCGAATTCCTCTTGTAAAGTGAGCAACGCGATCTTCATAGGCTAACTTTGACATTTCCTTTCGTAGTATAGCGTCTGGGAGCAGAGACGATCGATGGCAGGTTGCACTCCCCTCTTATTTCGTGGAAATCGAGCTCCAACCCCTTGCATAAAGTCACGCGGGGAGTCACCACTCGACGTTAGAGACGATGTTTCTCAATTTCAAGCACCTCCGGGACCGCCGCTTACGAATATCACCGACCGCTTACTCGACTTCGCAGAAACAGATGAAACGAAGTGGCGCAGTCGGATGCTTGATGAAGCAGAGCTTGGGCTTGATTTTGAGGAGCTTCGTAATGTGGATCGTCAATGGTACGATTCTGAGGAGAGCAATTATTTCCAGCACGAGGGACGTTATGAAGAGGATTTGGCACTTGCAGACAAGGAGGAACATTTAAAGTATCGACAGGTATTGAAAGCACTCCTTAAATATCTCATTCATGAAATGCCACTTTGACTTGCTCATGACTGCGCGTCTTCAGGGTCAACTTGACACGATGCGTCGACGTCAAAAATTAAATCTTCGAGAAAGTGTCCGAAATGCTGATCAACAGTTATGGGAGATGAATAGGCTTCGACAGTCTGGTCTCTCTGCTTCATCGATGGGACTTTCGAAAGACGATTCAACGTTGCAGTCGCTGTATGAATTGCCAACAGCAGATATTGATAGCGATGCAGCAGTTCATGTTCTCGTTCGAGAGTTAAAGCCTCCATTTCTTGACGGAAGAATTACTTATACGACCCAAATTGATCCCGTTTCTGTTATAAAGGATCCCACTTCAGATTTAGCGGTCTTAGCGAAGCGAGGCAGCGCTGTCTTGCGTCATCTCAGAGATGAGGAAGACAAAACGAAAATGAGACAGAGATTTTGGGAAGTATCTGGAACGACGATGGGAAATATCGTGGGGGTTGCTCAAAAGGAGAAAACCAAAGAAGAGCTGCAGGAGGAACAAGAAGCCGTGGAGGCAGCATCTGCGAATGACGAGGATGATGTTAAAAACAATTATAAGAAAGGGTCTCAATTTGCGAAGCTTTTAACGTCACAGAAAGACACAGCGGTCTCTGAATTCGCAAGGAATCGGACTCTCGCAGAACAAAGACGCGCGTTGCCGATTTATGAAGCTCGTGATGAGTTTCTCTCTCTTCTGAGAAGCCATCAAATTGTGATTGTTGTCGGTCAAACAGGAAGTGGAAAAACAACCCAATTAACGCAATATCTCCATGAAGACGGATACACACGATGTGGGATTATTGGATGCACTCAACCCCGTCGTGTTGCTGCAGTCTCTGTAGCAAAACGTGTTGCTGATGAAATGGAAGTCGTTCTTGGAGATGAAGTTGGATACGCGATACGATTTGAAGATTGTTACTTCTTCTAAGACGATCATTCAGTACATGACCGATGGAATTCTACTTCGTGAATCCCTGATTGATCCTGATCTTGATCGCTATTCTGTCATTGTTATGGATGAGGCGCATGAACGATCGCTCAATACAGATATCCTCTTCGGAATCCTGAGAGGCGTTGTGGCACATCGACATGATTTTCGGCTGATCGTGACATCAGCGACGATGAATGCAGAAAAATTTTCTGCTTTTTTTGGCTGGTGTCCCCATTTTTGACATTCCAGGGCGAACTTTCCCCGTTCGAGTGGAGTACGTCAGAACGCCTGTCGATGACTACGTTGATTCAGCTGTTCAGCGCGCCTTGCAGATTCATTGCTCTCTTGCTGGAGGAACCACTGAGGGCGGCGGGGGAAGCAGCGACGGAGGGGGAGACATTTTAATTTTTATGACTGGGCAGGAAGACATTGAAGCAACTTGTCTTCTTCTTGCTGATCGTGCTGCAAAATTAGGAGAAAAGATTCCTCCATTGAGCGTCATGCCGATTTATTCCACACTCCCCGCAGATCTGCAGGCTAAAATATTTCAACGAAGTGACAACCGCAAGGTGAGCATCTAGAGTGAAAATATCTGATTTAATTGGTTTCAGGTGATTGTTGCAACAAATATCGCAGAAACATCATTGACAGTAGATGGTATTCGTTACGTTATTGATTGTGGGTATTCAAAATTAAAAGTTTATAATCCTAAAATCGGAATGGACTCGTTGCAAATTACACCAATATCGCAAGCAAATGCGCGGCAACGTTCAGGTCGAGCAGGGAGAACAGGTAGGGCGCGCATTTTGGGGTGGAGGTCTGACGGTTTCTATTTTGTAGGGCCTGGCGTCTGCTATCGCTTGTATACGGAGCGCGCTTTTGTTTCTGAGATGTTTGAAAACAACATTCCAGAAATACAGCGCACTAATCTGTGCCATACAGTTTTGTTGCTTAAGTCGCTTGGGGTTAAGAATTTACTCGAATTTGATTTCATGGATCCTCCCCCACAAGAAACAATTCTTTCATCAATGTATCAATTGTGGGTCCTGGGTGCATTAGATAATCTTGGGAGTCTCACAGAAACAGGTAATCTTGCCGAAAATGAGCAATTTTATAACATTGTTTGTCTTCAAGGTTCACAAATGGTTCAATTCCCTTTGGACCCTCCTCTTAGCAAAATGCTTCTTACGGCTTCAACATTGAAAATGCGCAGCAGAAGTGTTGATTATTGTCTCCATGCTGTCAGTTCCTTCAGTTTTTTATCGTCCTAAGGATCGAACTGAAGAAAGCGATGCAGCACGTGAGAAGTTTTTCGTCGCTGAATCAGACCATTTGACTCTATTGAATGCGTATCTCCAATGGAAGCGCAATAATTGCTCACCTCAATGGGCCAACGATCATTTTGTTCATCAAAAGGTAAGATTCACGCTAGAATAGCGTCTGTGTAATATTTCCACAACAGGCAATGAAGAAAGTCCGAGAGGTTCGATCTCAGCTTCTAGATATAATGCAGCAGCAGAAAGTTGAGCACATTTCATCGGGAACTGATTGGGACGTTGTTAGAAAAGTAAGCTTTGAAATTTGCTTGAATTTTATGATCCTGTTGTTGTCAAGGCAATTTGTTCTGGGTATTTTCATAATGCTTCAAAATTACGAGGAATTGGCGAATATGTGAATCTCATTACATCAATTCCTTGTCACTTGCATCCAAGTTCATCGCTATTTGGGGCGGGCGTTACTCCTGAATACATCGTCTACCATGAAGTTGTTCTGACAACAAAAGAGTACATGCAGAACGTCACTGCTGTTGAACCCCAATGGCTCGCTGAATTGGGCCCAATGTTCTTTTACTTGAAAGAATCAACATCATCCCTCGCAGATAAGCGACAAGAAGAAAGGGAAGCAATTTCAGCTCAAGAACGAGGTGAGTTTCGCTGATATAAGCGCTTGAGTGTTACGATGCATCTTCAGAGTTCCAAATGAAAATGAGTGAAGATATGAGGAAACGAAAAGAGACAGAATTTCTAGAAGGTCAACGACAGCAATCAGGATTCAGAATAGCGACGCCAGGAATCAAAGTGTCACGATTCAAAACTCCTTTAACTTCAACCTACGCGAGAAACAATATGACATGTAGACCAGACACTCCGCTGCCATCGGAACGGCATGTGTCTCGCCCAGAGACACCGCGACGGTTGCATCATCTTTGTGATGAGTAGTGAGTGCACGTCTATTTTTCCGAACTATCGATCAAACAAAACCGAGTAGACTGGTTTTCTTCTTTGAGTGGTCAATCAGACCAGTCCTGAATTGCAGGAAGGTTTTCTTTGACATGTTGTCGGTCCCATTAATATCTTTTTCACGCCGTCTTGCTTTTATTCCAACTTCCATCCAGAAAGCGAGAATGTCTACAGATGCTTCTGTATTGCTGGTTTCTCGTTTAGAAGGCGCTGTTGCGTTACTCAGGTGAACAACGTTGTACAGAGAACTCTGCACGCTTCTACCCAATAGCGTCCCATTCTATTAAACCCCTTTCGATCAGATTGAACCGTCCAAATCAGTTGAACGCTTTGAACCAAGAACTTTGCGACACATTGTTAGCCACATTGAAGGGTCTCGATCAAGATGAAAGTGTTCGAGCTATTGTGCTTGCAGGGGGAGAAAAAGCATTCGCAGGTGAGCAGAATGGCAAAGAAAGTATCAACGGCGCTTAAATAGCTGGTGCGGACATCGTTGCGATGGAAAAGTACAAATCGACGGAAGACGCAATTGCAAAAGATCTCTTGGGGAAATTCGATGAAATGAAAATGATCAAGTAGGGATCGAGGTGAATAGATAACTCCTGGTGTTCGTTGATCAGAAAGCCAGTGATTGCTTCGGTGAAGGGATTCGCTCTTGGTGGTGGCTGTGAATTGGCTATGATGTGTGACATTATCTATGCATCCAGTACCGCTAAATTCGGCCAACCAGAACTGAATTTGGGAACCATTCCTGGAATGGGAGGAACTCAACGCTTGACTCGAGCAGTCGGGAAAAGCAAAGCCATGGAATGGATCCTTTCATGTCGTCGGTTTACTGCATATGAAGCTGAGCGGGCAGGTGAGAGCGTTTGACACCTTCTTTATGCAACCACCCTGATGCAGGTCTCGTCTCCAAAGTTATTGAGCCGCCTGAAGATGTCGATTCC